AACAACTTTTTTCTGGCAGCGCTGTATACTCTGCGTCTATTCTTTCCTTTTTCCACATTTCGCCCTGTGCTACAAAACATTTTTTAGAGCTCAGGCACAGTTTGCGAAACACGGTCTCTCCTTGTGTGGTTCCGCACGATGAGTCAGGTAAGCAAGGTCGAATCAGCACATCTATTTTTTGCGGCGTTTTGGAGAACGGGACTTGACGACATATTGAGTGCTAAAAGGCAGGGACATCAGACAGAGGACAACAAAGTGCACTAACTTCACCAATTTTTATTTTCAGAAAACGCCAACGTAATTATTCATGCACAGTGGTGCCACCAGTCTATCCACTAGCTAAGCAGAAACGCCCTTTCCTGATTTAAAAAGTCAACTGACGGTGCACTTACCCACATGTCACCTTTGCAAACGATAGCATTGGCTTCAATTATCTCTCGGACGTCTTTATCTTTATGCTTCTCCAGTACACTGCAGGATTCGTGCACAGGTGTGCAACCGCAATCCACGCAATGTACTGACAAATAGCTACATTTATTCTTGTTTTAACGTTAAGCTTGTGTTCACGAAGACGATCGTTAAGGCATCTACCCATCTGACCCATTCATAAATTACCACATGTCAGCGAAAGCCCACAGACCACTCCTTGTACACAATCAACAGAAATCTGGGAACCCTTAAGCTTCACTTGTAAGAGTTGAACGGTATAGCGAAATCCGGCTCATAGTGCGCCCTTCAACCACTAAGTAAACTTATTCACATCTTTTGTTACATACGCACGCACGCACACAAACGCACACAGCCGATTGGACCAGCGCGCGCTATTATCACCAAGTAGGCTCGTTTTCGTCGTGACACCTGTTGAACAAAATGCGTTAAAGGGGCTCTGAAACACTTTTTCAAGTAACCATGAAACAGATTAACTAAAAGAGCTTATTGCCTCACGGATTCATCACCGCAAAAATTTTAAGGATCTGTACAGTGCGGGTGGAGTAACAAAAGTTTGTCGCAAGCTGCAATTGCATTACCTCTTCTCTCGTCCTGACGAAAACTCAGGAAGCTAAGCAGGGAGGAGTGGCAGGGCAAAGAAACTACCGCGCCTCGTGACCTTGAGCACTTTTTATATGTGAAGCATTTCTTAGCGATCTTCGGCCACTTTGAGCATATCTATCTATCTATCTATCTATCTATCTATCTATCTATCTATCTATCTATCTATCTATCTATCTATCTATCTATCTATCTATCTATCTATCTATCTATCTATCTATCTATCTATCTATCTATCTATCTATCTATCTATCTATCTATCTATCTATCTATCTATCTATCTGCCTACGACTTTTAGCTTTCCTGGCCGTTTGATAATAGTATCGATGCCAAACTTGGAATGGCATAACAAGACTGTATGAAAAAATATTTGGCTAGTTATAACATGAAAATCATATGTATGCCTTGAATGTACTGATTTCTATTTTTTACATGTACAAATTGTACATTGAAGTTTATTCATAATCGAATACATACAACATTGATTTATTAAGTGGTTGAATGAGATTTGATGGCCCTGCAGCTCTTCCGGTAATTTCGTTCACATGGCATGTTGCAAAACTGGTTTGGTATGACGTGATTGCATGGCGAACACAAGCGACAGACCATAACATGAAAATCATGACATGATTGTCATGTAACGACATGACTACATGCCACGCTCATGATGTGCTCGCGGTTGTTTTGTTAGCGTCACATATACCTAATTTGGTATTACGGTACGTGAATGGATGAAGAAGGTATGTGACTGGGGCAAACATGATAATCATGAGGTGCTTGTCATGACACAACATGACTACATGCCAAGATCATGATGTGCTGGAGGTCATTTTGCTAGCTTTATTTATACGAAATTTGGTATTACGGTACGTGAATGGTTGACGAACGTATGATACTGGCGCAAACATGATAAACATGGAATGCGTGTCACGTAAAAGATGACTACATGCCACGTTACTGATGCGCTCGCGGCCGTTTCGTGTATTAAGAAACGCGAACGGATGACATAGTTAAATGACACATTCAAACATGATAATCTGACATGCATGTCATGTAACAACATGACTACGTGCCACACTCGTGATGCGCTCGCGGCCGTTTAGCTAGCTGCACATATGCCAAATTTGGAATTACGTGACGTCAATGGATTGCGAAGGTGTCAGACTGGTGCAGACATGATAATCATGAAATGCGTGTCATGTGAGAACTTGACTACATGCCACAGTCAAGGTGCCAATACATGTCGACGTGACACAGTGCGCGAGATCACCAGCGTTTATTTTGTCGTGTCACACCAGCGTTGCACGCCAGGCGCCTGTCCTGCCATATACTCGAAGATGCGCGCCGCGCTGCGTTGCTTACGCATGCGCGTTTCAGGACGTCCGGCGTTATTCCGTCACGAACAGATGGAGACGCAGTGTTGTCAGGATAACGCATGGGCACGAAATGCAACATGTCGCATTTCGCGCTGGTTGCCGTGGGGTCGCGCCTACGGACGCTGGTTGCACTGGTCGTACCTGGCGTCATACCATAGAGTGGTCGCGTTTTCCTTACGTAACCTCGCTGTGCCCAGCGTGAACGCGCGTCAACGATACATTGGAGTATATTTGGCCCTTCATGATGCGCTCGCGGTCGTTTTGCTAGCTCCACATATACCAAATTTGGTGTTACGTGAGGTCAATGGATGACGAAATACATAGTGCAAACATGAAAATCCTGATCCGCGTTTCATGTAAGAACATGAAAACATACCACGCTCATAGCGTGTTCGCGGCTGTTTCGCTAGCTCTAGATATACTAAAGTTGGTATCACGTAATGTGAATAGATGATGAAGGTAAACGACACATCTAAACATGATAATTATGACACGCAAGTCATGTACGCCTTCATTTACCTCCACCTCGTAGCGTTGAGGTGATTTTGAAGTGACATATCAACCTTTCTCATTCGTGCTTCACATCTCATCAATACCCATATTATGTCGGATCTTCCTTTTTTTTCCCTTTAAATACGCAGCTTCTTCAGTGTGATCGCGCGCGCAAGCCTGGACAAGTAGCGGCCTGCCGCGGCCATCTCGGTAACTTGATTTTTCGGTCACAGATGTACAGACAATTTTTCGCTCACAACCAATGGGGCCGACGCCAGCATGGAATTTCGGCTACACAAGCTCTTTAACGCTATCCCGTTAAGATGTTCGCGGTGGTTCTTGGAGCACCCCACAGCTGGCCTGTGGTGCGGGTGCGTCAAGCAACTTATTCTGCCAAGTTTTTGTGGTGCCAAGAACACTATTTCGATGCGTACCCGACTAGCCATTTTTTTTACATTATGAGAATTTTTTCACAGATAAGGCACTACTGCCACTCTGCTCCTACTTCTCGCCTGTTTGATGGCTGCTTCCCGAGGGCGACTATCTAAGCAGCATCTTTGAATTAAACCCTCGACAACCGACACCTGTACTGACTCTGGGAAACTTGCTGCGGATAACCTCTCAGACTGACTCATAAGACACCTTTGAACTTTATGGTGGCAGGATTTCCGCAATGCGTTTCCAAAACACTGATAGTGCCTTATCTGCACAAAACTTCTCATAATCTGAAGAAAATAGCTGCTAGTCGAGTAGGCATCAAAGTAGTGTTCTCCGCACCGGAAAAGCTTAGCAGAATAATGGCTTGACGGACCCGCACCGCAGGCCACCTGTCGGGTGCTCCAAGAACCATCAGGAATGTTTTGTAGATTGCGTACAAAGAGTGGTCTATGGGCTTCCGTTGACATGTAGAAGCATATGTAAAGGTCGGACGGGTAGATGCCTTAGCGATCCTCTTCGCGAGCACAAGCCTAAAATTAAAAACAAGAATATTTATGGTCATTTTTCAGTACCATGCGTGGAATGCAGTTGCACACCTGTGCACGAATCCTGCAGTGTACTAGCGAAGCATAAAGATAAAAACGTCGGAGAGATAATTGAAGCTAATGCTATCTTTTGCAAAGGTCACACGCGGGTAAGGGCACCGTCAGTTTACCTTTCAGATCGGGAAAGGACGTTTCTGCTTGACTAGTATATAGACTGGTGGCGCCAATGTGCATGGATATATCGGTTGACGTTTTCTGAAAATAAAAATTGTTGAAGTTAGTGCACTTTGTTGTCCTCTCTTTTATGTCTCGGCCTCTTAGCAGTCGATATGTCGTCAACTTCCGTTTACCAACACGCCCAAAAATGTCAGTGCTCATTCGACCGTGCACACTTGACTCATCGTGCGAAACCACAAAAGGAGAGACCGTGCTTCGCAAACTGTGCATGAGCTTGAAAGAATGTATGAATGTTGAACTTGAAGAATATATAGGTAGGCGTTTTCTGAAAATAAAAATTGGTGAAGTTAGCGCACTTTGTTTTCGTCTCTCTGATGTCCCTGTCTCTTAGCGCCCAATATGTCGTCGAATCAGCACACTTTCATTTTGCCATGGCAGAGAAGGGCAGCACAAGAGAAGATAGCCAGACCTTTTAAGACCAAATGAGAGGAATGACTCACATTGGCCGCGTCCAATTGCGTATAAGGACAATTCCTTCACTGGCCGAAAAGGGCCCCTCACTAGGTGGAAGTAGTTCGAGCTGGCAAGTACAACACATGCGCCGAGCGCTCACGATCAGTTCTAAGTGATTTTCAACGTCTCGTGCTGCGAATGATGGTCATTTTAGCAGCGAGGCAGCCACGGGAACCGAGCGAGAATTTACCCCACGTTTATTCTGCAAATACCGGCGCTCAGGGACTTTCAAGAAAGCGGTGGGTCATTGCATCACGAGTGCAACTGCACCGACGCACTAAGGGGCGTCATTCCCTGCATCGGAGCTGCATCGCTGCACTGCCTGCCTGAGCTGTCTGCGACTGATTGTGGAACCCACGTGGATCCACGTCGCATCGGCTGTTCTGCAGTCCCTTTAGAAGGAGCACCATCTGTCCTTCGCCGTCATTTTGGCAGCACAGGCAGCCACGGGAACCGAGAAATTACCCCACGTTTATTCTGCAAATACTGGTGCTCAGGGACTTTCAAGAAAGCGGTGGGCCATTGCATCACGAGCGCAACTGTACAGACGCACTAAGGGGCGTCATTCCCTGCATCGAAGATGCATCGCTGCGCTGCCTGCCTGAGCTGTCTGCGACTGATTGAGGAACCCACGTGGATCCACGTCGCATCGGCTGTTCTGCAGTCCCTTTATAAGGAGCACCGCCTGTCCTTCGCCATCATTTTGGCAGCAGGGGCCGCAACGCGAACCGAGAATTTACCCACGTTTATTCTGCAGGTTGGATATTACTTTTCATTATTTCTTGTTACTTAAGTCTGATTTGCGGCCCTGCTGCCAATGGCTGATTAAGATGTATCTCTTATGAGGTGTTTGCTGTGTAGTGTGTGTGTTTTTTTCCTGCTGTTCAGAATGGGAAATGATGTGGCTGAACTTAAGCGTGGAATTTCGAATTTGAAACGTGAGTTTTGTAAAGAACTGCGAGAACTCAAAGTGTAGAATATACTGGTGAGCAGTATGAAACACTTAAAAAAGAATGTGAAATACTTAAGCAGCAAAATGCCGAGATAAAAGCAGCCCAAGAGCCTCTTTTCCAAGAACTTGAAAAATTAAGGAAACCAGTGTGTACGAACTCGCTAATAATAGTGACACAAGATCAATATTCCAGAAACAAGAATATTGAGGTGAAGGGTGTTCTTTGCTCGCAGAATGAGAGCCTTGGGAGTATTCTGGAAATTGTAGGTGAAGTGTTTGGTGTGCCGGTAACGGAACACGATATCGATGCTTTTCATCGCGTCCCCGTACGGAAGTCTGGTACTGATATGAACATTGTCGTGTTTTTCAACCATCGCTCTAAACGCAATGCTGTAATTCAAAAAGCACGAAAGGTTAGAATCATGGCAGGTGACATCGGATTTCCTTCGAAGCAGTCAGTGTTTGTGAATGAACACTTATGCCCTCGACTGAAGCAACTACTTGGTATGACAGTTGCTAAGAAAGAAATGAAATGGCAACTTTTATGGGTGAGGGAGGGAAAGTGTTCGCACGGGAAAACGAAGAAGCTTACTGTTAAGATCATGCGCGAAGCAGATATATCTAAAATATGCTAGTGATTATTACTGACAGCAAATATTATTCCTTCTTAAATGATGGTTCTACCACGTAAACTTGTTCATCCTGGGTACGCTGACTCTCTTACGTTGTTGCATTTTAATGCTAAGTCGGCCCGTAATAAACACGACCATATAGAAGCATTTCTTAGTGAATTGACATGCCAGTTTGACATCGTAATGATAACTGAAACATGGTACTCTGCAGAAGGTGATATTCTTCGTTTGCCAGGTTATCAAAACTTCGTTTTAAGTAGACCAAGCCATCGTGATGGAGGAGTCATGCAGATGGTGTCAAAAAACATTCATGTAACTTGGTTGCAAATATTTCCAAAACCACACCGACTATGAAGCGCTAACTATACAAGTGAATGCAATGTTTTAACTGTTTTGTATCAACCGCCTGATGTAAATTGCGAAAGTTTTTTTACCTTCCTAGAGGAGCTACTATGTTATGCATATCAAAATAAACTGTGTATAAACATAGGTGGTGATTTCAATATTAATCTGCTTCAATAGAATTCAGTTACTCAAGCTTTTACCTTACTCATTGACTCTTTAGGTTGTGCGAACGTAATAAAGGCACCAACTCGCGTCACATGCCGTACTGAATCTCTTATCGACCTATTATTACAAATAGCCCAGTGCCAAGTGTCAGTGGTGGTACAATTGTCGCTGATTTAGGGGATGATTTGCCGATATACATGTTTTCTAAACGAAACAACATTCTTAGAGCAAGACGACGGGAATGTAAATCCTTCGTAATTCAGGAGATAAATCCAAGAACAATAGGCGATTTTCGAGACCAGCGTGAAGCCGTTGACTGGGCATCGGTATCCAACTATAGCGACGCTAACGCAGCTTACGATATACTAATGCGCATGGTAAAAAACACCTATTTGTTTTAAGTTAACAATGATTTCAAAAAACCCGTACCAACAAAAAAGCTACGTAAACCTTGGTTAACAAATGAATGTTTAAAGCTATTTCATAGGAAAATTGACTTCTATAGCCACTTCGTGCTCGAGAAGCCCGGATGACCTTTCCGCTTTTAAAGAATACGTTAATTTTGTAACCAAGTTACTTCGAGATGCAAAAAAGGCATACATAGAAAAACTGTTTAGTGATACGTACTTCAAGGGCGATTTAGTTTGGCGGGCACCTAATAAACTTCTAAATCAAAGCAAAAGCAATGAAGAGCTCGAAGTTAGGGAGAATTGGAAGCAGCTAAAGGGTGTTGAATTAGCAAACCGCTTCAATCAACACTTTACAAGTTCAGAATTTAGCGCTCACAGTACAGACGCTCTCCAGTACACGGGAGCGCCCAATCGACGCACGGCGTTTTTTGAGCCCACGACACCTGAATAAGTTTACTCTGCTTTCATATCTTTAAAGAACAGTAAGGCAAGGGATATTGAAGGTCTGCAGAATAAACCAATTGAATTTGCAGTAGATTTTCTAGTAGATGCACTTGCGCACGTGTTCAATATTTGCATGTCTACTGGTGTGTTTCCGAAAAAAATGGAACAAGCAAAGGTAACTGCTTTGTTCAAATCAGGTGAACGAAATGTTATGTCGAATTATCGGCCGGTGTCAGTGCTCCCTGTCATTGCAAAAGGTTCGGAAAAGATTATTTGTAAAAGGGTTGTGTCATTATGTGAAAAATATCGGCTATGAACTCCATGCCGATTTGGGTTCCGTAAGGGCCTATCGGCGGAATCGGCTCTATTAACACAGAAGGATTTACTTTTGAATGGCTTCGAAGAGAAAACGTTAACATTAGGTGTATTTGTTAATTTTTCCGAAGCCTTTGATAGGATTAACAAGGTTACCTTACTAAAAACGCTAGAACATTAGGTATTCCTTTGATTGCCATTGGATCTTCTCAGGTCTTACCTGGTGGACAGAAAACAATGCGTTTGCATCTCGGGTTACTACTCAGACCCTCTGAAGCTGGAAGCTGGTGTTCCTCCAGGAAGCATATTAGGACCCGTACTGTTCAACATCTATATAAATGATTTAGTGAACATTAGCAGCTTACCACATTATATAATATACGCAGATGACACCAGCTTTTTCTTCCAGTTACGTAGTATTGAATATTTATCCCAACAAGCTAACTCTGTTCTCGAAATGCTGTATTTGTGGAGCAAAGGAAATTCTTTGCAGGTTAATTCTAAAAAAAAAACAAAAGTTGTTCTTTTTGCACCAACTCAAAAACACGTAAATCATAATCTAAACATATTGTATCGCTGAGAACGAATTGAAGTGACGGCTGACGTTGAAACGTTAGGTGTAATCTTTGATCAGCACTTATTGTGGGACAAACACATCGAACGCGTCTCAATACGTATGGCGAAAGCATGCAGGGCACTGTGTAGGCTTCGGGATGTTCTTCCATCAAAAATACGGCTACTGTTGTATAATACAGTATTGATCTCTCATGCTAAATATTGTAATTTAGTATGGGAACAACGTCAAAGAAGAATCGCAGGACATTAATTATGCTACAAAAAAGCATTACGGCATGTTGCGTGTGTTCCTTATGACAGCCATACAAGTCCATTATTTGCTCAGTTTAATATTCTCCCATTTCGTTACCATTATGAGTTTAACCTTACCATGAAGTATAAAGAAAGCGTAAAACGAGGCCACAGTGCATTTATTCGTCTTTGTAAGTTAAACAAACCACATCAACTCAATTATGACATCAGAGAGCGTGAAACTTGGGCTGTTCCCTTTTCGAGAACCAATCATGGAAGAGACCGGCTATCGTACCGTACATCATTACTGCTTAACGATCTTGAGGGGGAAAACATTAATTTAAATACTACTTCACGTGGAATGTTAAAGCAGTATTTTCTTTTCTCAGCCGTGCGGCTTTATGTGAGTACTTTTATGCTACATATGTGCTTGCTTTCCCTTTCTTGTTTCTCAGGTATGGTATATCTTTTTTTTGTGGTGCGTGTGAAAGCCTTCATACATGCTCTCATGTACTTGAAAATCTGTATGGTTTCACCATTATGCATATTTTCTACGACTGTGTTTGTAAACGTTGTGAACTGTTCACTAAAAAAAGTGTCTTCTGTGTAAGGAAAAAAGGAAACTTTTTGGTGTGCTGTCAATTTGCAACGTGCATTTCAGTATTATATTAGTTTGATTATTTTTTTCTCAAAGATTATCGGTATATTGATGCATTTCATTTTTTGAGTACGTGTGTTGTCTCCTGCCAAATTCTGTAGGGGCAGGGGCCTTCGTCAAGCCGCTAAGATAGCGCCTTTTTCCTCCTGTCCTAGCATTTGTTGTATATGAATGCTGAAAAAAGAATCAGAATGAGAATGATATGTGGGGTTTAGCGTCCCAAAACCAGAGACACTGCAGTGGAGAGCTCCGGAAATTTTGACTACCTGGGGTTCTTTAACGTGCACCTAAACCTAAGCACACGGGCCTAAACATTTCCGCCTCCACCGGAAATGCAGCCGCTGCAGCCGACATTCAATCCCGCGACCTGCGGGTCAGCAGCCGTGTACCTTACCCACTAGACCACCGCGGCGGAGCGCCTTGCATTACGGAAAGGCATGAGACTTCAAGCTGAACGCCGCTTGCTCTCCTTTTCGAGGGCTCGTTCCCTTCATGGAGAGGGTGACATCGCCCATCTACATAGACTTGGTGCTCTGACGTCGCTTACTGTAGCACTTCAGTAGTGCGAAAAGTCTTCGAGAGTGACATGCGGAATTTCGTCAGGTGTTGCTTCATTAGATGAATGAAAGGGGGGAGAAAAAAAAAGTTGACCCTGTATCGGCATGTTTCACTGCAAATGTCGTCGAAAAACGAGTCTTACGCCTGGAGGGTGCTGAACAAAACGTCTATTTCATGTTCTGCGCGAGAAAATTGGTGAATGGTATTCTGCAGGCACTCGATGCGTGCGACGGAGGTTAACAAGTGCATCGAGGCACGTCATGCTTGAGATTAAGCTCTATCTTACAGTAATCCTGAAAAACAAAGCATGCTGCGTGCGCGACCGTCTCAGAGGTGATAAGGTGAAGGACGCCAAGCGACGGGCAGATGCCACCACCATGTCATCTTATCAAAGCGTTGTAAACATTTGCCTCTTTGAGCATAGCGCTTCATTGTCAGCGCAGCGTGATCAACGCTGCGGTACTTAGAATTACTTATGGATGCCTTCTCTAATATAAAGTCACACATACGGGATATTGACGTGTTGTTGTGCCTTACATATGCGCATTAATTGCTTTTTAATTGACAATCGCACAGGTATGAACGCTGAAACTTGAGCAATACTGGTGGGTGCAAGGGATGGCATTGGCCATTAGTAGTATCGTGTGGCGCCGTTTGGGGTATCATTATGGCAGACAAACAGACAGGCAGACCGACAGACAGACCAAAATTTTTGCGTCGAAGTACCCCAAGCATAGAGAAATATAATAAAGAGAGGCCACTGGGGCCTTTTTGGGGCTGAGCCAGAAAACGTCTGGCCAACCGATAGATGACGTACCCATGCTCTCTTTTACTTTGTTAAAATATGTAATAGCCTCCTCAGGAGGACAATAAATGCCCAAGTTGGCCATCAATTTTTAGCAAAGAAGAAATTTTATTAACTCGTGCAATTTTATTAAATTCGCTCTATATCTTGTTCCACTTAGTACATTTATTGCCTTACAAGAGGAGACTGTGAGTATGACTAGAAAGTGCTGCCTCTCTGCATTTGTGTTGCATAAAGAGGCACAATTACGTGGTTTAGATGTACTGTACATGTATTCCCTATGTAGACGCATGGGTGTGTATCCTAGTGGTAGAGACACTCGCTTTCGGAGTCTGAGGGTACAGGTTCAAATCCCAGCGTCTGGACGAAAAAAAAAATTAGTTGTTTTATTTATGCTGAAGAAAATACAAGGTCTGAAACCACTCGTGAGCGCTGAAAGCAGCGCGGTAGCTGGGCCGCATGGTCCTACGGGAGTGTCCACTCTTTATGTGAGTATGTTTCTCTATGCCCCAAGTAATGCTTCGTATCGTTACGGTGGACAAACAGACAAATGTACAGAAAGACAAACATGCGAACATTTTTGCGTTGAAGTACCCCAAGAAAGAATATCGTTTTTATTAATAATACTGAATAATACTGAAGCAAAGCAACAGGTTCGCAAGCTTGACTATGATGCATCTCACGTTGAAGTGTCCTTCAGCGCTGGTGATGTGCTGCTTCTTATGCCCGTCGCAGTACATGGTCCTGTGCGAAAAATTTCAATGACGCTTCATTGGCCCCTGCACTATATTGGAGCAAACGTATCCGGTCAATTAATGAACGTGTTCCACCCAATCTTCTTCTAACTGACCGCCGCTGCCGGGCCGGTGAGATAATACAAGTATCACGCACGAGGCCTTTCACAAGGCGTTTTTGGGCTTTGAACTACAGTCAGGATGACCGCTTTTGTGGGGGGAGGGTGTTGTTCGGTAATTATTTAGGCAAATCTACTTTCATTGATAGGGCACGGCAGCACTGCCAGGATGCAACACCTCAATCCGTTTGTTTTTCTGCCGCAGATATTTGGCGTCCTGCTGCTCGCACAAGCAGGAGGCGAAGAACCGGCTCTGCTATCTGGATACGACGGCGCACCACTTCCAAGCCACCAAGCGCATCATGTGCGCATTGTGCACTTGGAATCTACGCTCGGCGATTTGCCTGGAAACAGGCCTGCCTCGGTGACTTCATGCGCCGACGCTGATCGCCACAACGTGAAGACGGCGCTGCTGGCAGACTGGAGTGGTATAAAGACTGGACACCCCTCGACTCAAGCCATAGGGCACGGCAGCACTGCCAGGATGCAACACCTCAACCCGTTTGTTTATCTACCGCAGGTGAGCAGGCGTTATGAAAAATGTATTCGTTCAAATTACCTATGCCTAATAGTGCTGCCATGCCCTAGGCAGATTTGTGTCCTGTGGAGTTACCTGTGTACCTGTATCAAGAAATTACAGTTGCTCAGTGGCGACATTGAAACAAACCCGGGACCCGATATGAACAAGATCATGAAACAGCTTCAAGTAATTGCAGATGAAATAAAAGAAGAACGTTTAAAATCTATTGAAGCAAAACTTGAACAAGTAACGTTACTGGAAAACAAGATCACGTCCTGTGTCTCCCAAGTAACGAATCTTCAAAAAACCGTTCAATACTTGGAGTTAAAAATAGACGACTTGGAAAACCGGTCTAGAAGGTCAAACTTACTTGTGTATGGCGTACCGGAGGAGGCAGACGAACACCCCAAAACCCTCGAACAAACTATAAGTGAGCAGATACTTAAGAACATACTAAAGATCAAACCCGTTCCAATAGACAGAATGCACAGGATAGGAAAACAAAACGCTCAAAAACCTAGACCAGTGATGCTGAAACTCTTCGACTTCCAAGACAAAGTAACTATTCTTAGAAACTGCACGAAACTAAAGAGCCCCACTTTCTCTGTTGGAGAGGACTTCTCAAATAGAGTAAGATACATCAGAAAAATGCTTTGGCAAATTGCAAAAACCAAAAAAGAAGCCGGAGACAAAGTATTTCTGGTCTATGACAAGTTAAAAGTGAATGAAGATCTGTACCGATGGGATGACGATACAAATGATATCGTGCTCGTAAGCGCTGACCGTCACACCATTAACCATGACAAAACGACGAAGCGGAAGCATCAGGCGAGCCACAACGCCGCAGCCAACGAAAGAAATAACATTTCTTACCATAAACACCCGCAGCATGCTTCAAAAATTAGTACCGCTTGAATCCTTACTTCTTGGAATTGAACCTGACTTCGTAGCTTTGACAGAAACATGGCTGACAAATGAGATAAAGGATTTTCAGGTAACACCCCCAACTACGTCATCATTCGTAAAGATAGGCAGACACGCGGGGGAGGTGTGGCCATCCTACTTAAAAAAGAGCTTTCCTTTGAAATACTTCCTGAGGTTATCGGAGTCGAGGCAATATTTTGCAAGCTTCTCTTCACTTCTCGCCCAGTATTTGTTGGCTGCGTTCATCGCAGCCCATCTTCAGACAAGGATAGCTTGCAGGCATTGCACACGTATATGCATCAGTATGTTCTCGGAGCCAGGCTAATTTTGCTCGGCGACTTTAACTTACCCGATATAAACTGGCGAACAATGCAACACAACAGCGCATGCACGGATGCGCTCATTGACATCATGTTGACATTTAATCTGTCCCAAATCGTAAAACAGCCTACCCGTATCCAAGGGTGCTGTTCTAATATACTGGACTTGGTGTTCTTAAGCGATCATTTTCCTGCAGATAATGCACAGGTTGAAATTCTTGAGGGCATATCAGACCACGAAGTTATTCAGGGCTCCGTTTGTATAGTTGACATCCCTATACCGTCCAACTCCTTTTCTGTCTATCTTGACTTTAACCATGCCGATGACACCAGTATACTTGATCGTCTTTTCCATGAACTTGCTTCATTTGAACTACTTGCGAAGGATTCAAACACAAATGTGGAAATACTATGCGCAAGCTTCAAATCAGTCGTAACACATTGCGTTCTTAACTATGTGCCATCTAAAACAAAGAAAACACGAAAACATAATCCCTGGATAACGCGTAAAATTATTCATTGCAAGCGTAAAGTAAAGCGCCTCAGAAAAACTTTGAAGGCAAAACCTACTCCACAAATTCGGAACAAGTTGAGTCAAGGTATTACTAAGATGAAATCCCAAATAAAAATGTCCAAAGCAAACTATTTTACAAGTACGCTACCCAACTTTTTGAAAATGTCTCCCCAGAAGTTCTGGAACAACCTTAATCCCAAAAACCATATTAGGCCCGCGGCCCCAGAAGAAAGCAAAGATAAAGCAAACTCGCTAAATACCTATTTCAATCTGTTTTCACGATTGATGATAAAAATGTGCCTGATGTTGACATTTGCAACACCCGACATATTGAACCACTTGTTGTGACAGAGTCCGGAGTGCTTAATTTGTTGTTAAAATTAGATACTAAGAAGGGTGCCGGTCCCGATAACTTGCCAAATGAATTTGTTAGGCGATATGCTGAATGAGTAGCCAAATACTTGTGTATACTTTTTAATAAGTTCCTATTAACCTGTTTCCTCCCCCAAGAATGGAAAATCGCAAAAGTAGCTGCTGTTCCTAAATCTGGTAGCGAAGCTGACCCTTCAAATTTCAGACCCATTTCACTAACCAGCACAACTTGCAAACTACTGGAACACATTATTCTTAAACATCTAGCGTTGTACCTTGACCAGAATCACATCTTATCGCCAATACAACACGGTTTTCGCAAAGGACTATCTACAGTTACCCAACTGGTTGAACTAATTCTCGACATCTCCGTCAATGTACACTGTACAAAACAAACTGATTTAATTCTATTAGATTTCTCAAAGGCGTTTGATCGGGTGCCACACAAAAAACTTATAAAAAAATTAGAAGCAACGATAGGCGCAGGCCCACTTACTGACTGGATCGACAATTATCTGAGTAACCGAACACGGTATGTGGAAGTCAATCGCGAAAGTTCTACCATAGCCAACGTTACGTCAGGTGTACCACAGGGCAGTCTTTTGGCCCCCATTTTATTTTTGATCTTCATTAATGGTTTACCTGCTGGCATTGCTGTTAATGTGAGGCTTTTCGCCGATGATTGTATACTTTACCAGGAAATTAATGCCCCAGAAGATCATGTAAAACTGAACAATGCCTTGCAGTTCATATCTAAGTGGTGTGCTCTTTGGAAAATGACCCTGAATGTTAAAAAATCTGCTCTCTGGAGGATCACAAAATAAAGCAAGTATCTGAATTTGTTTACTTTATAAATAACTCTCCACTTCCGGTAGTGACTGAACACAAATATCTAGGTTTAACTTCAACGGAAGATTTTAGATGGGATATCCACGTTAGTCATGTCACATCAGCTGCATTAAAACAGCTGTTTTTCCTTCGTAGAAGTCTCGCTTCCGCGCCACCTAAAACGAAACTTCTAGCCTACAAAGCATTCGTCAGACCTGTCTTAGAATATGCAAACGTCACGTGGTTTCCCTTTACAAACAATCTCATAAATGCCTAGAACAAATACAACGAAAAGCGATAAGATTTGTCTATAACAAGTACAGAATACCTGGCTCACCCACAGAACTTAAAAAAAAGCAGGTTTTTTAACAATAAAAACCGCGCTAAACTGCTGGCACGTGAGAAATTCCTATATCAGTTAGTTCACCAACAGCTAAACATAGACAGTTCAAAGTACATGTCATCTAAAGAAAGAAGGCCAACACGACAAAAGCATTCTCAGACACTGCATGAATATCAGTGCCGGACGGACTGTCTGAAATAATCTTTTTTTCCACTAGCAATTCGCGAGTGGAATAACTTACCAATCAGTATAACAAACAGTCAATCATTGGAAACTTTTTCATCCCTTGCTCGAATGTTATTTATTGTCTTCAGAACTGACGAACTCTGTTTTTTTCTTGTCCACTGTTTGAAGTGCTCACTATTCTTTTTTTCAGTACTAGTTAGAATTGATGTCCTATGCTACTGAATGTATTTCAGTGGTACTGATGTAGTCATCAAATGTATTTCTGTCGGCTTTGTCTTACTCGTTATTATAATATTTCAGTGAGTACCCTCTGTATAAATATTGCCCTTTCACAATGTATGTGCCCTTCCTGCAAAAATCCCTAATTGGGATTGGCAGTATATGTAAAATAAAAAAATTATACATGATCACGTCATGAGTGTTCGTAGTCATAATCTATTGTGGGAACGCGGCTCGCTTGTGGTCTGTGCATTGGTTGCGTTCCCTTCATCGTGTCTTCGGGTCCCAATAAAGGTCGCTTTATTAATACACACAAAGAGAATCGTTGCGCGTTTTAGGGGCGAAGCTCCTTGTGGCATGGCTTGTGAGTCCGTCGTTGTAGTGCGCAACCACTGGTAGCACATAACCGAAAGCGTGGTCCTTAGGTTTGCTGTATGGTGGCAGTTGTACATGATCGATACATGATGAACAGGTGTGAGATTGCTGTACTTGGAGTGTTCACTAGATAGACGGACGCACGAATGGATACACATGCAGATTGATGGACAAACAGATGGAGAGATGGACGGACAGACAGACAGACAGACAGAGGGGCGGACACACGGACGGACGGATGGGCAGACAGAGTGACGGCTGCACGAGCAGACGCACGGACGGCTGGACAGACAGACGAACGAACGGACGGACGCTTGGACGAGCACACGGACGGACATATAAACAGATGGTCACACGGATGAACGAACACACAGATGGACGTATGGAAGGACGGAAGCAAGAACGAGTAGTTGGATGGAAGCACGGACAGACTGACGAAAGCTTCACCCCACCAATCATCAATCACTGCATGGATATGCTGTGAATTTTTTTAGTTTTTACTTCAAATCACAGCCAAATGTGGCACTAACCTTCATTGATTTCGCATGAGTTCGTATGGCCGTCGTTCCCGAATCGTTCCGGTGCTAGCGCTGACCACGCTTGCCGTGGTTTTGTGAATTGTGCCAGTTGCAGTGGAGCGATATGGTGTATCGCGGTAAGGATACATAATCTGACATAAAAAGGGCAGCGCGAAAAATCGGGGAAAAAAGAAGGACAGTAGAGACTGTCTCCATCCTCCTTTTTCTTTCTTTTTTCTCTCCGAGTTTTTGCGCTGCACTTTCTATGGGAGCACTATGAACCAACTAGCCCAAATCCCACTTAATTTATTGCTGTTATGATGAGCTTGGTTGCATTATTGTTGTATGTGTGTGATGATCGGATTATTGTATGCTGTGTGATGCTTGGCTTGATTGCCTTACTGCCTGTTCCATTCCTGCTTGGGCTCCATGCCTGCAGTATCTTGTAAATAAATAAATAAAATAAATAAATGATCCATGTGAGCCTCTTCGACGATGCGCACACTAATGGAGCATTGATGCTTGTGGGCACTCCGATCGCTTCAATTTTTTTTCTTATGTCCGTCGTCCCTATTCTAGCCAAAGATTAAAATTCAATTCAAAAATCAATACATAAAAAAGGAGAACACAAGTACTTGAAGAACAACAGGCCAATAAGCTTGCTCTCCGTCGTGTACAAACTATTTACAAAGGTTATTGACAACAGATTTGGGGCAACATTAGAATTCAATTAACCAAAGCTGTACCAGGATTTAGAACAGGCTACTCAAAATCAACCACACTCATACTATCAATCAGGTAATAGAGAAATGCTCAGAATACAACCAACCTCTGTATACTGCGGATGTATGCAGTAAGGGGACAAAGAAGGCAAAATAACTACCAATAGGGATAGGATAGTTAAAATAGCGGAGGAGTTTTACAAAGATCTGTACAGTAGCCAGGACAACCACGACTTTAATACTATAAGAACTAGCAGTAACCCAGATGACATCCCACCAGTAATGATAGAAGAAGTCGGAAAAGCTTTGGAGAGCATGCAAAGAGGCAAAGCTACTGGTGAGGATCAGGTAACATCAGATCTGCTGAAAGATGAAGTACAGATTGTGTTAGAAAAACTAGCCACCCTGTTTACGAGGTGTCTCATGACGGGAAGAGTACCAGAGTCTTGGAAGAATGCTAACATCATCTTAATACCTAAGAAAAGAGATGACAAGGACTTGAAGAATTACAGGGCTATAACTTGCTCCCTGTAGTATACAAGCTATTTACAAAGGTAATTGCTAACAGAGTAAAGAAAACATTAGAATTCAAACAACCAAAGGAACAAGCAGGATTTCGAACGGGTTACTCAACAATCGACCACATTGATACTATCAATCGGGTAATAGAGAAATGCTCAGAATATAACCAACCACTATACATAGCCTTCATAGATTACGAGAAGGCGTTAGATTCAGTAGAAATATCGGCAGTCATGCAGAAAATGCAAAATCAGGGCGTCGACGAAGCATATATAAACACCCTGGAATAAATATACAGGGGA